TGTGTTGGCAGTTGGAGCTCAGAATTTCCTAGAAGCCAGGGAGAGTGGTGATGAAACTGTGACCTTGACATTATAGTCAGTGACTCTGTACCATTAGGTTATTAGAGGAACTCTGTAAACATTCCCAGTGAGCTAGCTAATGGTGAGAAATGGGCCATGGATAACTAGTCAGAGAAAGACACTCACCTGTAAATACTACATTTGGAGTGTTGAAGGTGTGTTTACCAGACACACAACACATGGGTTTTATTGGGAAAGAAACTCTTTACGTTGTATTTTTTAGCACCTTGAAATTCACAGTAATACTTAATCATGTGTTTTTTAAAAAACAATACACCAAATCTTCCAAAAGTAATTTCGTCTAAAAGTAATCATAGGTCTTCTTATATTTCCATGTGGCACTGGGAGTGATAGTTACATGGAAAATGGTCACAGTCACCAAGGAAATGGTCTGCCTCTATTGCATTGCTCCTCATTGAAGTCACCTTGACCTTCCATTCAAGTCATCCCCAACCTCTCTTTCAAGTCACTAACACGACACCATGTGACATGATCTCAGATGAAATTATGAGGAGGAGCAGGTGAAACTTATAAAAATGGTGCTAGGAGGAGCCCTGTTGCCTTTAATCCATGGCTCTCAAAGCTTCTCTAGACAGTAATTATTTCCCACAATGCTCTTGTGAAGTAGTCCCCTTTTATAGACGTGGAAACCAGGAGAACAGAGTGTGACTTCCCTTTAGCTTTGCAGTGAAGACCATATGGTCAATTCGACCAACAGAATCATCTGGGGAGCTTAAAAAATTACCCATGACTGGATCCCACCCTCACAGATTTTGGTTGCCTTGGGGTCAGTTCTGGGTGTTGGGGGTAAAAGTTGCCTGTAATTCTAATGTACCATGAAGGTTGAGAACCACTGCATTAGATAATTATCCAGAGCTCTGTCCTGTATGGCTCCCTGTGGAGATTTCCTGCAAGCACCTTGCACTCAACATTTGCAACCTCTCTGTTCCCTTTCCTGTGTCCCCCCACTCAGGGGCAGCTCCACCATCCAACTGTTGGCCATGTCCCAAACCTGGGTGTCATTCTTACTTCTGTCTTCTCCCTTGTTCATGCAGTCACCGATCCTGATGTTTCTGCCTCTTGTATTGCTTGAATTTCTGTTTCAGCCTGTGCCAGGACATTTCATTTCTTCCCTCTTACCTTACTCCTCTCTGATTCTGATCCTTTCTCCATTTTTCGGCTACAGCAAACTATTCAAGCTTTATTTAGGAATTCTTCGTAAAGATCATATGACTTCATACTGTCTCTTACCACCACCACTCAACATATTATCTTCTCCAGTCATCTCACCACTCAACATCCTCTCTCTTACTTTAGCATATGCTAGTCCCTCAACCTAGGACACTTGTTCCTTCACCCCTGCCTCCTCACCGTATTTGTTATTCCTTTCCCCTTTAAGAAGTTGGCCTTACTCCCATGACCCATGAGCCTGACTGGGTGTCCCTTCTTTGTCCTCCCAGAACACTTTGTGCTCCAGAGTCCTTTGCCCGTGTCCTGTTCCACAGTATTGTTGCCCATTTACTCTTCTGGCAGTCCACTCAAACTGCCAAACCGTGAGATCGGGGACCACATCTTGATTTATCTTATTCACCATCAACTCCCTAGCAGCAAGCCCAGACCCTGGCACAGAGGAAGTGCTGACTGGGTGGAGGATGGATGGAGGATGCCTCTGAAGGCAGTGAGGAAATAGCAGCATGGAGACCACTGATGAGGGGCAGTGGTGCAGTGGGAAGAGCCTGGTTTGGAGGAATCCTAGATATGGGTCCTAGCTGACAGCTCTTTGCACTTGAACTCTGCCAGTTCCTCTCTGTGAAACTGCCTTCTCTGGAAATGAGGACATTGAGTCCATGTGATTTACAGGTTCCTTACAGCCCCAGAATTCCATTACAATAGATATCACAAAAATGAGTATATATTCTCCACTTGTGTCACATGTTATTTTTTCTTATCAATTCTGTTCTCTGAACCCGTTTCCTGAACTCTCCATTTCTCCCCTTCCTTCTACTCTTTCTCTCCTCTCCTTTCCCTTTTTCATTCTGACCGCTGCACCTTCCTGTCCTCAGCTGCTCCTCTCCTGATTTGCATATTCCCTCTTCCTCTCCAGGTTGTTTCTTTCAAGTCTTCCTTTACTTGCCCTCTTGGAGCCGACTCACCTTTCGCAATCTTCATCCTAGTGTTTGAGGTCATCCTCTCCTCCTTTTTGCATTTCTGCTCTCTGGATTCTGAGACTAATTACCCTTTCACTACTTCACTAGCCTTTCTTAAAGCCTGTTACTCATTCCTGTGTGTGTGTGCAGCTCTGCAAATCTCTAGTTCTGTGTGGTTCCAGGCCTGTCTTTGGCAAGAGGTGGGGACTTATAGAAAATTAGGCAGAGCCAGTTTTGGGGACCATTGAATCACGCTGGGGAGTGACCATTGGTTCAACACCCCCTTATGAATGGAATCAGTATAGGGTGGACCCCTAGCATCCAAAATGAATTACTACACTCCCAGGGATTTGGGGGTCTTAAATCTTTCAAAAGTTTATAGTCTAACTTAAGCAATGAGGAGAAAGTAAATGTATAGGTATAGGCATTTGAAAATATTCCTAAGTGATTTTCCTGAGCACAGAGTTTAGGGGCCATGAAAACATAACCAAATCCCTTGCACAACCCCCCTCTCTCTACCTAGGGCTTCTCAGCCACAGCACTATTGACATTTGGGCTGGGAATTATTTGTTGTGGGGCTGTCCTATGCAATGCAGGATACTGAGTAGCACCTCTGGCCTCTACATACTAGATGCCAATAGCACAACTTCCCCATCCCGGTTGTGACAGTTAAAATCGTCTTCAGATATTGTCACAACCACTTATTGTTGAAAATCATGGTTCTATTCTAACCCCACATTCCCTGAATGACTCCCCCCTCAATGCTTAAGGACGGACACTGGCTCTAAGCTGGCACTGGTTTATTGCAGTGTACTTGTTTATTGAAACAACAAAGGTTGTCATGTTTTTCTTTTTTTGTGAGTTTATTGAGATGTAATTGACATATAACACTGTGTAAATTTAAGATATACAATGTAGCTCTGACCAGTTTGGCTCAGTGGCTAGAGCGTCGGCGTGTGGACTGAAGAGTCCCAGGTTCAATTCCGGTCAAGGGCATGTACCTTGGTTGCGAGCACATCCCCAGTGGGGGGTGTGCAGGAGGCAGCTGATCGATGTTTCACTCTCTATCCCTCTCACTTCCTCTCTGTAAAAAATCAATAAAAAAAATATATTTTTAAAAAAAGATATACAATGTAAAAACTATGGTTAGATGCCACAAAGCAAGTGGTGATGCCTAGCCATGCCTGTTGTCAGGCTCAAGTGCCTCATCTGTCCATCCCTGTTGAAGGGAGTGCTAAGCTTCGCTCCTTTCATCCAACACTGTCATGGTTGCCTTTTTCATTACTTTGACCATTCCTCACACCACTCTCACACCTCACATTTGTGGGTCCCACAGTAGAAATACAAAAGCAGCCCACATATGATCTTTAAAAGTTATATATTCAATGAATTTAAATATTCTTATCTTTCTACCTTGACAGCTATGCTTTGATAACAATCTGGAAGGCCAGGTTCAAATTCAGGCACCTTGATTCTGCTGGAATATGGTAGTGTGGAGAGCCGGCTCTTGGCCTGGAGCCGGTCCGTCTCTTCTGTGCTTGGTTGGCCTTGTCCCATGTCATCATGGCCCTCTGGGTCTATTTTGTTTCTGTTTGAATTTCTAACATGGAAAGTAATGCTAGATATAACGCGAGTAAACAGAAGCCCTTTGGGGGTTCTCAATAAGTTTTCAGAGTGGAAAGGGACTGAGAGACCTAAAAGTTTGATAAATACCATGCGAGAATTGCTGAAGCGTTCAAGGTAGTCAGTGCTAACCCAAGATTGGTCCACGAAGAGAAAAATTTTCAGGTATACAGAAGTCCATATTAATGACTAATTCTAATAATTGTCTTTCTAGATGGTGATGGAAAGTGGGGACTGGCTGGTTGGTGGAGACCTTCAGGTGCTGGAGAGAATAAAGTGGAACGATGGGCTGGACCAGTACCGCCTGACACCTCTGGAGCTCAAGCAGAAATGTAAAGAGATGAATGCTGGTACGTAGGCTGGTTCGGATGCATTTCTACCCCTTACCACCCCCTGATGACCGAATTAAGGGTATCAGCAACAGCACGTTTATAGTTTAAAAAAGCAGGAAACATCTACTGGTATGTCTATTGATACAGAAACAGTTTACAAAGTTGAACTATATCCATACACTGGAACACTATCCAGCAGTTAAAAATATGCACCGACACGGAAAGATACCCAAAGTGTATTTATTAATCGAAAAAGCAGCTTGCAGAACCATATAACAATTCTGAAAAACAAAATAAGATGATCGTTTTTAAAACCCGAAGCTCTTTCTGTGTCTGGAAGCAGCAGTCTGGCAGTGAGCACCAGGCTGCCTGCTGACAACAGCAGCTGCCTCTGGGGTGGAATTGGACCAACGGGAGGGAAGATATTCACGTCACATATTTTGAGAAAGATGGAGAAAAAACAATAAGGTTATGGGTGATTTTTATATTATATTTTTGACTTTTCTGTATCTCCCAACTTTTCCATAATGGCTATATATTATTTCATAACCAGAAAGGAAAAGTAAGGCTCTCAGGTATCCATCACTAAGTCAAGTAGTTTTGAAGTTTCCCTTAAAGAGAAGATTTGAAATTATATTGCTAGATTGTTGAGACCTTGCAGGGGCCCAGGAAATGTCCCTTATTATCTCCCCCCCCCCCCCCAACTCTGGGGAAGTGAGACCGGAGCAGGGACTGATGACTGCAGTGGGCACCTGCCTGAGCCTGGTTTGCTGCCAACAGTCGCTTTCATTTCTGCATCAGCTCTCCCTCTCGGGCTTCCTGCCTCTGCGCCCTGTCCCTGTGTAAAGAGTCTGACCTTGGCACCTTTGGAGGAACACCCCTAGAGGCCCAGGTGGATTCTCCAGCTGATTATCAAAAACAAGCAGCTCTAACGAATGCACTGAACAATACACACAGCTGCATCTTTCTGTTCCTGCAGACAAGCCACACTGCATTTCTCTGACCTTGGCCTATTGTCTTGCCCAGATGCGGTGTTTGCCTTCCAGTTGCGCAATCCTGTGCACAATGGCCACGCTCTGCTGATGCAGGACACCCGCCGCCGCCTCCTACAGAGGGACTACAAGCACCCGGTCCTCCTGCTCCACCCTCTGGGCGGCTGGACCAAGGATGACGACGTGCCCCTGGACTGGCGGATGAAGCAGCACGCAGCCGTGCTGGAGGAAGGGGTCCTGGATCCCAAGTCAACCATCGTCGCCATCTTCCCATCTCCCATGCTGTATGCTGGCCCCACAGAGGTAAGTGGTACCCTGAGCTGGGCCGTGGGACTCAGAAATGCAGGCTCAAACTTGACTTAAAGAGCAAATGAGTTTGTGATTTTCCTTTGTCATGAGTAGATTCTAAAATCTTCTGATCTCTCTTCTTTATCCAACTGACCTATATTTCCATGTAGTGCATATAAAAGTGCTAGAAACATCAAATCAAACCTGTCAGACACCACCTTTGAGAATATGGAAGTTGGCATGTAAATGAGGTAGATCATACAACTTAACTGGGCTATAGGGCAAGTTGTGTCTAACCCAATATTCAGTTTCTTAAGTCCCAGTGACTCTGAGTCTCCAATCTCTGTGAGCTACGTTAGAAGCGCATGGAGAATATGTCCCTCTCAACACACAGCGAGCCTATCAGAGACCTCTGTCCCACGGCACCACTGGTGTAGTGGATTTGAACAAGTTTGCAGGAAGTGTGATGAACTGAAAGGATCTCAACCTTTTGGAATGTCCCAGAGTTTAACAAATTAAATCTCTTTAACCAGATCAAAGTTCCAGGCCTCCTAGTTCTCCTCTCCACCCTCTCTGTTTCTATCTGAGCTTTAAAGAAGACAGTTCATTTTGAAATCCCGTTGCTGTGTTGAACTGGAGTCAATGCATATGAAAGGTAATTGGCTCATTCTTGACAGTCAGAAAAGAGACACTGGAGCTTGTAATTTCCTTAACTGTGATTTATTCTGAATAGAGAAGGACTAGAGGGTAAAATCCACACAGTTCTGTAAAGCAGTGAGATCTGAGTGTTCCTGGTCTGTTAGCTTTGGAGAGATGAGGAAATATAACCTCAGCTTCTAAGAGGGGGATTCTTACCTTTAAAGCTCCTGTCCCACCCAACATAACCAAGCAGGTGAAGAAGAGAGAGTGGAGTCTTGGACACATCACTGACTCTCTTGCACTTATTAGTGGGCCAACATTACTGAATTACCTTTAAAGCAGAACAAAGGCATGTAAAGAATTGGCCGAGGATAACCAGCGTGTCCCTTACCTGATGTTTCCTAGGTCCAGTGGCACTGCAGGGCCCGGATGGTTGCGGGGGCCAACTTCTACATTGTGGGCCGGGACCCTGCAGGAATGCCCCATCCCGAGACCAAGAAAGACCTGTATGAGCCCACTCACGGGGGCAAGGTCCTGAGCATGGCCCCTGGCCTCACCTCTGTGGAAATCATTCCGTTCCGAGTGGCTGCCTACAACAAAGCCAAAAAAGCCATGGACTTCTATGATCCCACAAGGTAGGTTTTCAAAGGAAAATTCGTTTTTTGTCTTTAATCTTTATTGTTGAGAGTATTTCAAATGTCCCCCTTTTTACAAACCCCACCCCCCCTGCCCTCCCTGTTCCTGCCCTGCCCCCGGCCTTTATCATCTTGTTTTTGTCCACAGGTAAGATCTTTGGTTAATGCCGAAACCGGTTTGGCTCAGTGGACAGAGCGTCGGCCTGCGGACTGAAAGGTCCCAGGTTCGATTCCGGTCAAGGGCATGTACCTGGGTTGCGGGCATATCCCCAGTTGGAGATGTGCGGGAGGCAGCTGATCGATGTTTCTCTCTCATCGATGTTTCTAGCTCTCTATCTCTCTCCCTTCCTCTCTGTGAAAAATCAATAAAATATATTTAAAAAAAAAAAATAAAAAAAAAAAGATCTTTGGTTAATCTCTTCCTGCCCCCCCTCCCCACTTACCTCTTAGATTCATCAGTGTGTTTCATGCTTCCATGCCTCTGATTCTGTTATTCACCAGTTTATTTTGTTCATTAGATTGCTTGTTCATTTGATTTTTAGATTCAATTGATAGATATGTATTTCTTGCCATTTTGTTCATATTTTTTTTAAATATATTTTTATTGATTTTTTACAGAGAGGAAGGGAGAGGGATAGAGAGTTAGAAACATCAATCAGCTGCCTCCTGTACACTCCCCACCGGGGACGTGCCCGCAACCAAGGCACATGCCCTTGACCGGAATCGAACCCGGGACCCTTCAATCCGCAGGCCGACGCTCTATCCACTGAGCCAAACTTGCCAGGGCGGTTGTTCATATTTTTTATATCTTCTTCTTTTTCCTCTTCTTAAAGAATACCTTTCAACATTTCATGTAATATTGTTTTGGTGGTGGTGAACTCCTTTAGCTTTTTCTTGTCTGTGAAGCTCTTTATCTGACCCTCAATTCTTTTTCTTTAAAATTTCATTTTATATTTTTAAATATATTTTTATTGATTTCAGAGAGGAAAGGAGAGGGAGAGAGAAATAGAAACATCAAAGATGAGAATCACTGATTGGCTGCCCCCTGCATGCCCCCCACAGTGGATCGAGCCTGCAACCCAGGCATGTGCCCTTGATCAGGACAGGGATCTCAACTACTGAGCCATACCCGCTGGGCCAGAAAAATCTTTTTTTTTTCTTTTTATTGATTTTAGAGAGGAAGGAAGAGGGAAAGAGAAACATCAGTGATGCGAAAGAATCATTGATCGGCTGCCTTCTGCAAGCCCCACACTGGGGATCGAGCCTGCAACCCAGGCATGTGCCCTGAATGGGAATCGAACCGTGACCTCCTGGTCCATAGGTGGATGCTCAACCACTAAACCACGCCGGCTGGGGCAGAAAAACCTTTTAATGAGCATTATGAGGCACTAATCATACTCAGAGCACACAGAAGTAGGCAGAGCAATACAAGACACTTCTGTGAACAGAGTAGACACAGTACATATTGAATGGATAGCTGCATTATGTCCCCTTCTTCTGTCAGTTCCTTTACTGAACTGAAGAATTAACGAATTGCCATTTTAGAAGGTGCAGCATTTTACAGAAGGAAAAATAATGTGTTCTCAGAACCCACAAGCTACTCCAGGAGTCTTTAAGGAAGATGTTATTTACCTACGCAGAGTTCTTTGTTCCTATCCTGTGACAGGCACAACGAGTTTGACTTCATCTCAGGAACCCGCATGAGGAAGCTGGCCCGGGAAGGAGAGAACCCCCCAGACGGCTTCATGGCCCCCAAAGCGTGGAAAGTCCTGACAGATTACTACAGGTCCCTGGAGAAGAGCAGCTAAATGCCCTCGGCTCCAGCTTCTTTCTCAAGTGCTTTTTGATTCCCTTTACTATTTTTGTGATTAGATGCTTTGAATCCAATTGTTTCTCAATGACTGATTTTAGTGGTTTATAATGAGGTAATAATTGTCTAAAATTTAGAGTCAACTTCAATATATAAAAGTCAAACTGAAGACCAAATCTTAGCAGGTTAACGGCAATATTACCATCATTTTAGAATGAAATTGATTGTTTTGTCTACTGCATCTGAACAGGTATGTCCTAGACTTCTTAAAGCTCTGACCATGTGTCTAGTTTACTTGCCAAAAAGGAAAGCACGTTTTCCAGCTTAAGTTTTACCAACCTACCCTCTACCAATGTTACACACAAGAATAAATCAGATGGGCAGCCTCTTCTATACAACAAAATAATTTCTCACCCTGAATGAGGTGTGATTCACATCAAGATTCTTCCCAATATTTCTCCTCATGTCGTATACAGCCCTACTGCCCAATCTCTTAGGTGCTGAAGTATGATCTGACTGGAGAATGTGTGAAAATGTGAATTTACTCTCAGAGATCTATGCAACCTACTTCTGCCATGAAAGTTCTATTAACTAGTAAGAGAAGTCTTAATGCACTTCCGTGAATAATATAACTCCAGTGAAACCGTGTCTTGTCATTAAATAGCATAGAGTGCTTTGATGAGATTTCCACCCAGGAAATACTGTGGAAAGTTACTTTTTCTCCTCTATGAAGAGGCTATGCCTTTACACTGTAGCAGCAGCTGCTATAACTGAACACCATTCGTGTCATCAGATTACTGAGCTGCTAAAACTGGAAAAGACCACAGAAACCATCGAAGGCAACCCTGTCCCCTGACAGGTGACCAAACTAAGACAAAGCGTGAGCACATGCTTGGTAAGCTGCTGGGCATGGCAGCAAAAACAGAAAATTGGCATGATCAGGAAGTACTGGTGGTACTGAATGAGCACCCAGGCCACGTGACTCCCTCTCTGAACTCGGTCTATACTGTACAATACAGGAGCCAGGTCTGATTCCCCTCAACTGCTTAGTAAAGCTCCTTAAGTAGAGGGCACTTACAACGCAGCCTTCTTGGATGCTGAAAGGTTGAGTTTTTAAAACTCAGCTGATTTTATTGCAGTTTAAAAAAAAAAAGGAAACTTTTTCCAAAGACTTATTGCTGGTTCTGAGACATCCAGCCCCTCTGATGGCTTTACTTCCTGGGAGGCAATCTTTTTATACTTTATGTGTAATTCCTTGTGCTAAGGGATATATGAAGAAACAGTACCTTTTGTACATGGGTCTCTCTGGAAGAGACTTAAACTGGAAAGAGAAAACTGTGATTTTTTAAATATTCTGTGTTATTTTCTTAAATACTAATCTTAGCTAATGGAAGTTCTTTTGAGAATAATATACAATCGTCACAGCAAAGTGTAACTGACTGTCTTTAATAATAGAGTGCCTATATTCACCTAATTGGAGGTACTCATAATTGCCTTTTTAAAAAACAGCATATTTATTGAAAACATGAGACAGGATAGAGTGCCTTAACCCATATAGTTTGTGATTTTTAAATATATTTATAACTGTTCTTCTGCTCTAATACCACACAGTGCAAATGACTATTTGTACGTACAACTGATGCTTGTCCTCATGTTAATAAATTTCTTAAAGTAAACGTCGGGGCTTCTCTGCCTGTAACACTGAGCGTGGGTTGACCACATGACTGTTGAGGGCTCGGTGACTTCAAATAACTGGAAACAGCAGCAACTCTTTCAGACCGTAGTTACAAGGCTGGTGGCCCTTACCCACGTCATTTCAAGAACTGCTCTAGATGGGTGTGACACAAGCACTAGTGATGTTTTCAGAGGTGACCGGATTTCTTAGGGACCTCTCCCCAGGATTTCATTGCCTGAGGATCCGAAATGAATTTTTTTTTTTTAACTTGCTCCCCTTTTCTCAAAGTGCCCGCAAGTTTTACCAGTGGGGTTGGAAGCAGTTGTGCTCGTCTGCAGTAACTCCCATACCTCCACTGACCTCAGCAATTGCTACTTCTGTATGCAAAAAGGATACCTGTTTCCACGCGTACTTTCAGGGGCCTCCAGGAAGGCTTGCATTTTGGTTCTCTTCCTCCTTGAGCCCCCAGCCTCCTTTCTGTCCTGAAGGCTTAATGAAAATGACTGCTGCTGGTCCTCACTACAATAAAACTGGTGTCACTTGTCCCCCCTCCCTTTTCCTCCCCAGATCCCTACTTGTTGGCTCCTAGTGACAATTAGTAGGACAAAGTAGGGCAGGAAATGTGTAAGTTCATGAAGATGTAAGTGATGCCAAGGGAGTATGCCAGACTATACAGGGCAGTGTGGAAAAGTCCCGGAAAGGCATGTATAAACCATTCAGTCAGGTATTGGTAGACTTATAAATAGTATCAACACTTGAGTCAGGCCACAAGATTTCTTTCCAACCATATTCCTTGTAAGAAGAAACAACCCTTGGCTACTTGAGAACAGCAGAGTTCGTGTTTTCCTCATCTTCCTCCTTTCTATCACCTAACTTTTAGGTCAAGCACAGGTAGGTCATCAGGAAATGAGATGGTCACCAGATCAATCAACAGTTCTTATATCTGAAGGTTTGAAGGAACAATAGTGCAACGATAGCTAGTGAGGCACACACCACTGTGTTCCATTTCAGTTCCAAGTTTTGCATGCCAGTAATTAGTTCAGTATGCTTGGCTTGGGTTTTAAAACTGAGCTGCCATACTTCACAAATTTGTGTCCTTGGTGCCCACACCAGAATTCACATTCATTGCAATTGTATTTCAAAGCACAAAAGCTTACAACTAAAGTGTGCTCAAGCAGATTTATAACTAAATATTAGACAATCACAAAAACATTCCCAGTTCAGTGTTTCAGTAATGAGACCTTTATGAGCTATCTATAATAATAAAAGCATACTATGTTAATTAGACCTGATGGCCAAACAGCAGAACGACCACCCGGATGACCTTCTGGACGAAGCCGGGCACTGCGGCTGTGAGGGCTGAGCCCCTTGCACGAATTTCGTGCACTGGGCCTCTAGTTGAGTTATAACAGTGTAAATTTTACACCAGTGTTACTGAGGATATTTTGTTTTACTTTCATTGTTAAATGGTTTCTTGTAGCTTTGATCTCATTTGTATCTAGCTGCTATACATCTTAATACAATTTCATGAACATGCCTTAGAATTTTCACCTACACATGTAAGGAGAGCTTTAACTTGAGGGGAGGGAGGGAAAATGTAAAGGGGAATAAGAGGTACAAACTCCCAGTTATAAATAAATAAGTTATGGGGATGTAATGTATAGCACAAGGGAATACAGACTATTACAATAACTGTACAGTGACAGATGGTTACTAGATTTGTCATGCGATTAATTCGTATATAAATGTTAAATAACTGTGTTGTACACCTGAAATTCATAATATTGCATCTCAACTATAATAAAAAAAAGGCCTTTCCCAATGTTTATCATTTAGGGAAAAAGCATTTTCTCAAGTCAGAAACTCTAAGCAAAGTAATAATAAAGTTTCCTCAATTACTTTAAGGCATTAAGATGCTTCAAGGAGTCATAATTGCTGGGATTAGTGTATTTCTCTAACTTCATTTGATGATTAGAACTATGATAAATTTAATAACTACTACTGGATATTCTGAATTTAAGAGAAGATAAATAGAAAGTACCTGAGAAGGAATATATCACACCTTATTTTTTATCAATAAGTCATAAGATTAAAATTAATGATTACTGAAATTCTTACTAAAACAAAAATAATGATTAGATACTAGTATATAAGCTATAGAAGTGTGAATGCTGCACAGCAAGATAAAACCAGTCCGAGGGCAAGTTTTATAAACCAAAACCACCCAGAAAATTTTACATAACTAAAAAAGACCAAGCCATAAGTAGAGAAAAATCAATTAAGAGGGACCTCTTTATTACACATTTATAAAATAATAGTATAATTATTAAAAATGGAGACTATATTTTTTTGGTATCTTGTGTTTTGCATTCAATTTTTCAATCATCTTCACAATTTTTCAAAACTTGATTTTTGTTATCCAAAGTGTTATCCCAGAACCTATACCCCACCCACCAAAGCACAACTGAAGAACCAACTATTCAGCAGGTTCTAATGAGACTCAAAAAGTTACTCCAATAATGCACAAATAAAGATTGAAAGTTTTCAAAGAAATACAATAAAAACAAAAACATAAAGAGCATAATTTAATCTTCCTGATGATTCAGAAGGTTCCTCTGTCACAGTGTGCACACTCCTCATGCTGTGTGTTTAAGTGCCGTAACAGAATTCTAATTAGTGAAATTGTGGACAAAAAAATGTTTTGCTGACATGTTAGCACACACAGCCTCAAGTGACTATAGATACAATATGGGAATTCTGATGTGTGTATATTTGTACTAACTGGGGCACAATTTATAATATGCTAAAAAAACTTTAAATTTCAGTTACAAAATGAGTATTTTTAAGTATATTTAGTAACAGCTACTTGTTTTAAATTATCATTTTATTTTTGATGACCAAATTATATTTGACCATAAATAAAGAACACATAACTATAAAATAACATTAAAAAATCATGGGTACAACAGAACTAGGCAACATTAGATGAAGAAAGGGGAAGTCACAGACATGTGCTGTATGGCACTGAGGTTTTTCTAAGCTATTCTTTTGAATGTCTTTCAATCACCTTTACGTATATCAATTTATAAATGTCTCTACTCAGTGTGCTTGTGGAAAGGTGAAATCGGTGTTGATCACGCAACTGCCTGAAAACCATTCAATGCTGATCTCTGAACAAGTATTATACGGTTATCCTGACAACCGTAATAACTAAGCCACATCTAAGTATTCATATGTGGCTGACTCCAACTGTTCAACTTCAGAGAATGCTCAACTTTAAAAAAAGCTGAAACAAGTGACAACTGAAAATGGCTGAATCGCTGTACCTTCTAGACACAACCATCAATCTTAGTTTCGCTATATAGCACTTAGTACTTTTTGATTCAGTAGTTAGGGGTAAAAAAAAGTTTCTGTATTCAAACATATCTACAGAATGTCAATATAAAATGTGTGACTATATACATTCAATACACACACACGCTCACATATCTAGAAAGCAGCACTTAACCACATCTCCATTTCTCACTAATGACTCAATAACTCACCTGTCACTTTAAGACAAGCTTAGATGTAATAAGGCTGCAACATATGGCTAAAGAGGCCAAACACAAGCACCCACACACAGGCTTGGTTAAATTGTTCCTCCTCATGATTTTTGACAAGTGGCAATACCATTTATAGAACAACCATGTCTCAATAACTTAGAATTCAGAGTATAAAACCAGTGTCATTCAACTCCCTCACTGTGTAAGAACACCATTCCTTCCATTCTATTTCCACTAATGATAACAGGGCACACCCAACCAGGCTGCACTGACCTGCACAAATGATGTTTACTCTTAATCTAGACAAACATGTGTTAAAACATTCTGAAATGCTGCATCCTTCGACTTCTTCATCTTTTCAATCGCCCGATGCAGGTCCTGTTGTTGTACAGGCCGAATTTCATCTTCATCATGGCTAAAATGCAAATACAAAACCACCAGATATTAAAAAAACTTTAGAATATACCTTCATAAAGATTTTTACCATGATTAAAAAATAAGCTCTTTCCCAACCAAGACCCTAAAGACAATCACAATTAAAAGATTCATGCGAACTTTTTCAGGAACTATCTATGCATTACAAGTCTTAGACTGAGATTTTTAAAAAGCACTGACTGCTAAAAGGTAGAAAGCTAAAATGGCTGGCTATAAACATTATAGTTGTGGTAACTAAAATCAAATACTTCACACTAAGAATATGAGTATAGAATATTACCATATGGTGAAAATGTTCTATAAAGGTGTGCCAATTTGCCAAAGTGGAAATGTTAATTCCAATCACGGAGTCAAACATATTCCCATCAAAATTGGAATTAAAAAGTAGCTTTCCTACAGATATAATTCATGCATATGTTTAGCTTTTGACACACTAAAATAAATTCTTTGCTATTAATAAAAACCAACTAATCAAGGTCCTCCCAACTTCAATAATAAGAAAAACACAGTATATAATGTCTCCTTTGTAACTTACAGACACTTAGGAAAAACCATTTGGGAAAAAAATTTAAGATAATCCAAGTCTATTGGTCAGATTTTTCACATTGAAATATTAAAATTTTCACGGCTTTGAGGACAGCAGGGAAACTTTCATTATTAATGTAAATTTTATTTAAGCAAAATTTGTAAGTTATTTTCTTTTTCTCCTCTTAATTTTATAAGAATAAAAAGCTGTGGCATGTAGATTGGCTACAGAGGTCAAAAGTATTCCCAACTTTAGCGCTAGAGCAGCTGGAGCAATAAATAAATGGGAGTTGC